ATTCATATCTGAAGTAAATTGGGTGGAAACTTTAGATTTCGGTATTATTTTGACCATAGCATTACTTACAAGGCGAAACTTTCGACTGATTATACTATTATATCAAGAATACTGATAAAACAATTTGGGATTTTTATTAATAATTATATTATACATTCCATACATCAGTACAACACTTCTTCTACTCATAGTACATCTAAAAGACTTCTGCAGTGCCCACTAAACATTTCTGTTGCATGTAATTGCAATAATGTTATATTATATATTACTTTGGACAGAATATAAGTATACGATGTGTACCATATATTTGAAGATTTCTGTAGTATTAAATAAAAACTTAGGAATTGCTAAGTTTGCCAGGAACAAATCGTTACTCTTTTAGACAAATTGCAAATATACAAAACGTTGAAGTGCTCCCAATTTGAGGTATGCAACTTTGATATATTGAGGCTAGATACAAGAAAACTTCTAAAAAAAAGTGCTTCGTTGGTAAATACATCCTTTTAAAGCTTTTGAAAATTGAACAATTTTGAATGCCAAGCAGTTTCAACAAAATTCCCACAAGATTTTACACAGTGCACAGTTTTTAATATAATAAACGAAAGAAGTGACATGAAAGAAACTGTTTTGTTTGTGGACTAAACATTCTCACTAAAAAAATATGTCGGACATATGTAGTCACACGATATTGCAAAAGTATTAAAATTTATTTATAAGCAAACAAAAAATTAAACAAACCCCATTAATGTGAAGCAACAGCTTTTGTTATGCCTTAAACACACATAACATAGACAGAACGTTACCATATACATTTACTCTTCCCTAACCTTCACTGAGTCAATCACTTTGCTATTCGGTTTACATTTTCCACTTTTATAATTCTATTATAAATAATGCCAGCGTATTTAAGAAATTTATACAGAAGTATGACTTAATGGTGATGTTAATTCAAATAACAGAGGATGCTATTAGATAGCATTGGGTACTTTATTTGATACTGAAATCTAAATAACAGTAACATACTCTCTGGTTGATATTTGTATTTCCATACAAGCGATTTCATTGCTACTTTTCAAGTAAATACCATCTTATAACGTAAATGTCAAAATATCCCAATATTTTTTCATAAAATATAAAATTTTTCTCAGATTCCATTGCTACAAGTAGATGATGTTAACAGAAATTTTCATCAATTGCAGAAATTAGAAAGCATGAATGTTAGATAATTTAGCAACAGATCAGAATAATTTAATAGAAGGGCACATTTATATTATATGAAATCGAGAGAAACGTAAATATTAATTAACAATTTTACCATCAGATTAAACATCTCGAAAGCGTCGAAAATTCAATGAGCAGTGTTAGCAAATTTTAAGCCGAAACCATGTTTAACACTTTTATTTTTATATTGTACATATAAAAATTGCTATTAGGAATAAACAGCTAAATAATATATTTTCCACGAAATGAGTCCAGTTAGATTTAGGAAACACCGTTTGAATTTTTTTTTTACAAATACTGCTTATAAAATTGTTTAAGATAATACAATTTTAAAATTTAATTGTTTCCTCCCATACTTCTTATGTGGATCCTCTGACCAAAATATACGTTATATCAAATTACAATGTTTGGAAAAACTCTCGTTAGCTGAACATCTTCGATAGGCTTAAACTCATTCTCCGTTAGCAACCTCCTGTGGATGCTGTGCAACTTCTCAAATGCGCGGTACTGCACCATCTCTCACATATTACCTTCTAAATTTACGCTCTCTCACTACTAGCATATTACGACTTGCTGTTGGTCTCTAAATGATTTCAATGCCCGTAAAACAAATGTCGTGAAAATACGTTATGTGGATGCTGTGCAAATCTACTCAAAATAACCAAATTTTCTGCACTCATCCTGCTGTTCTTCTTCTTTCTCTCAAATAAAAATGAAAGTACCGGAATATTTTGTGGATGCTGTACAATTATTCTCCCGGATAATTTGACTATAGTACGTTATTGCTTGTATCGTGTGTAACTGTTAAAGTAAACCATGCTCTCGCGGGTTTTCTCTGACATTACGGCACACGAACTAGTTAAAGGCCTATTCAAAACTTTCCTCGCTTTGTGTGACAGTTCAGACTGAAACAACGAAGCGATGAAAACAAAGGGTATGTTACAGTGAACGCTTTGCTTTCAGTGTATCTTTTAAATAAAAATGGCGAGTGCTGCTTGGAAAAGCGAAAAAAGAAGAGCTTCGCGTCGAAAACTTTTTATGTGAACGTACTCGTACAAAAGCGTACATCGAACTTTTTTGTCAAAACATATGTCTGACGCAAAGCGAAGCCAAAGTTCTATGTGAATTAGCCATAATGAAGGCTCTCAATGTTCTAAAATGCAAACGTTGCAGAAATAATCCTTTTGGAAGCTGTGTATGTTAACTCTTCAAAATATTTCAAAATCCGTTCTCGTTAACTACCTCTCATATAACTGAAGTTTCTATTGCGGCTGAATGAGTTCAATGAGCTAAATGAGAACACTTTACTGTGGATGCTGTGTAATTCTGTCGAGAATAATTTAAACTTACGATCTCGTTTTCCTTTTCTGCCTTTTTAATGTGCATACGATATTATTGAACATTGCAATGTGCTTCAAGAGAAGTGTAAAAAAATGAGATTCTGTGGAAGCAACTTTTAAGTAAATTTTTAATATACGTCCCGGGTCTCTTTTTTGGAGGAAGGATTTTAATTTGCTAAAACTCAAAAGTTGTGAATGAAATCCCTTTGGAAGCTATTTAACTTTTCAAAATAATTCAAATTCCATTCTCACTCACTACCTTTCATATAACATAATTTCCATTCTCTCTAAATTAGTTCATAAGTCATATAAGAGCTTGCTGTGGATGCTGTGCAATACTATCTAAAACAAGAACAATTTACGACATCTTTCTACTTCTCTGCGTTTTCTACAGACTTAAACTATTAGTGACCGATTACAATGTGCTTTTTAATGTACATTATTTCTCTCATATTACTACTCTTTCCATCGACCTACACTTTCGCGCAATGATTTCAATGTTCTAAAAGTTGAATGTCGTGAAGGGATTCTGTTTAGTTTTTCCTAAGACAACTAACATATTGTATTATATTATAGACTTTATCGCACTCTTTACACTGCAAAGTGATAGAAAACATGTGGCAGTTAAGTACATGCTGTGGATGCTGAGAGCTGTTGAGGATAATTCGGACACAAGTGTTCGTGCTATTTCTCTTAAATTACAATATTAATGGTGCTAAAAGATAAAGGTCATAAGAAGACTTTCTCTGAATGCAAACGTTATAGAATTTAAAATAACTGAAATGTCTGCTGTTTTTAGTGAGTTCAGCAAATAGTAAGGGATTGCAACGTATTTCAAGGCTGATTTAGGAATGGAGATCATTTGGATGCTGTGCAAATGTTAATCCTCAATAATTTCAATGTGCTATAAGGTAAATCGAGTGAAAGAACTTCTGTGATGTGTAATTCTATCTAGGACAACTTTAATTGACAGTATCACGCTCATACTCTCCTATTATTTTCATGAATGATGGTTAAGTGCTAAAAAGCCGGCCCCAGTAAAACAGATCCTACAAATACTGAGCAACTGTTAACGATAACTTTAAGTTATGTACGTTCCCGCCATTTCTCTTACGATACTGTATTTTTAGTAACCTACTCTCAGTCAATGCACTAAAACGAAAGTGACGCAGAAGACATGATGTGGATGCTGTGTAACTATATATATTTCAAATGTTTGTTCTCGTTCTCTTAAACTCTTATTACTCAGATTCAGACTAGGACTTTAGCACCACTTATCGCAGGTTTATTAATTAGTTATTGCCTTCAATGTCCTAAATGTTGGTTTTCGTGAAAGAAAAACATTCAGTGGACGCTGTACAACTACCCAAATACAAGTTCCCCTCTCTTTCCGTCATTTCACTCAGTTCGCACTGTGAGTAAATGCTATCAAAGTGCTAAAATGTAAAAATATACACTGTGCCTAACTCAATATAACTAAAAACTGCACTTTACTCAACTCTTTATAAATAACTAACTGGCTTTCTGTGCGTTAGTAAATGATTTTATTGTTTTAAAACATAAATAGGTATAGTAAAAGAATTGTCTAGGGGACATTCCCGCGCTTTTCCATTACTGCCTTATTCACTAAATTGTGATATCTATAAATGTTTTCAATGTCTTCAAAAGTAAATGACCTAAAAAGGCATCCTGTGGATGCTGTAGACTTACGAAGTACACAACCATACATTTTAAAAATATGTCAGCGGATTCTCGCTCTCATACAGCCCTTTTCATAAATTTCACATGTGCTATGTAGGATAACTCAAATATTTATGGTATATTTGGCGCCTTTCAAAGAATTCATTTGAGGAACGTATTCAAAGTGCTGAATTTTACTATACTAGGGGAGTTCCTGTAAATCTTGAGTGTTCTCTCTCTCATTTTAGAGAGCCTACACGCAGTTTCAGTCAAGTAATCACTGACTTAAAGTACTAAAAAGTAAGCGTTGTAAAGGAGCATAAAGTGAAGGGTGCGAGCACATTAAAAATAAATTCCACTACTTCGTGTTTACAGGAAGCGTCTAGCGATTGGTTATTACAAAACAGACGAAGCAAAATTTATATAGCTTAGCACATGTGAGTGTGTGTTAATGCCTTTCTGCGAGAGAGTGCTGAAGTTCGTACTTACATGAAAATGTGCCGAGTTGAGCCGAGTATTAGGCTCGTTAGCACGACAATGTTTCAACACTCAACTGCTTTCCGCACACTGGGTCCTGATGACAACCAGCATAACTGGTGTAGTGCAGCATTCAAACACAGCATCCAATTGACGAGCAAATATTGGCTAGCAACCACACACACACACACACACACGTACAAACACAGCCTTAACTAATAAGCATCGTATGAATGCAAGTTTTTCGGGGTTTAAGCTACGATGAGTTTCTAAGGTACTTTTAGTACTTATTAGAACGCGTACTGTAACGGATGAGCAAGCGGAAGAAGTGCGACTCGTACGCACAGTTAAAGTACCTACAATAATCATTACAATTCACAGTGTGTATTAATGCATTCACTTCATCTATACTGAATCGCATTAGAGTGCCACACGATTGCAAAGTGTAAACAAATGTGACGTGGAAATCGTTACGCAGCGAAATTAACGCAATGTGAGTGAAAGTGTAGGTGGTGTACATGGAAGCGAGTATGCAGTGTTGTTTTCCCAAAACCAATAGCGTTTTGTTTAATTTTATTTATTTGCACAAACGAGTGTGTCACTTCGCTCTACTACTTATACTTATTTCCACTCAATTTCTTATTTGTATTTTTTTCGTGTGCTAATCCTTTATTACGCGCAAATTATGTAAATGCAATGCAATGAATGGTAAGCGGCTTATGGCTACCAAATGTGTGCACAATCTTCGCACTTAAGTGAATCGACTGAAAGTGAAATCCGCCGAGAGATAAACACGTGCGTGCATACACACGTAGAAACATGTAAAGAAGCACGAAAGAAGCAAGTGTTTGTCCCGTAAGCTAAAGCTTTGAGGCTATACCTATGTGTGGTAAATGTGGAGGCAGCGCTAGTAGCACGGAATGGCAGTCATGAAGAACATGCTACTAAAATAAAATAGGATTTTCAAAGATTACAAAAAGCGTAGTAAGGAGTTGTAGAGAGTGTTGGGAGCAAGGTTTAAGATTAATTCAAGTTCTTGCATAAATAAGTGTCACCTTGAATACTAATATGGTTTGTTTAGCAAAAGTGAAATGATAATACGACAAAAGTTTAACAATTGATATACATAGATAAAAATACAAAAAGAACAAAAACAAGGGTGTTCATGTAAATATAACTGTGACGTAGTGAGATGACAGCAGTGTAATTTATTATAAACAATCACTAGATATTTAGTGAAGTTTACAACAATATAGTTTAAAAACAAAAAATACATGGCATTAAGAAATTTAATTTAAGTGCTAAAAAATTATTAAACTCAGGAAGTTTTGTATAATAACAACACACAAAAAAATTATGGAAATTAATAAAAAGATCTTAATCGCAAGATATTTAGTGAAGGTTGTAGTAATAATGTTAAAAAAAAAATCATTAAAAATTAAAACTAAGTCTAAAAAAATTATCGGAAGAAGTTAGAAAGCAGAACTAAACAAATTAAATTGAACACAAAAATTATAAAAAATGTACCGTCAACTAACCACTAATTTGTGGGTTAATATAGTAGATCACGGCAAAAATATTATTAACTTCTTCCGCTTTAAATATATGCATACGTTTTCTTAATGTCTGCAATTTGTTTAGCCCATATCAATCAAATTGACTAACGCGCTTTCGTTCGCCGAAAAATAGTACGACATCAGCATTACAGCATGAGCATATACCGTTGTTCTTTTGAAACATGGTTGCATACGGCTAACCATTGAAGAAGTAGTGCTTACAGCATAGATCAAATGATTCGAGCTGCAAACATATCGTAATATATTTTCGAATCTGCAAAGTTTTGTTTCGATTTCAGTTCATACTGAATTATTCAATAAATCTAGTATGAGCTTCTTGTTGTCAACTACATTATAACTTGTAGCAACAAAATTGAATAACATCGTAACCATATGCGAGTAACCGTGTGTATAAACATTTGAAAAAGAAAATTAAAACAGTAACATTTTGATATTACACTAAAATTTTAGAAATAAGAATGTATAATACAATTGAGGTTTATTTATAATTCAATTCCATAGATTACTTTCAGTGTCTAGATCAACACTAATGTCATTCAGCCTATGTGCATAGTTAAACAACTTTCTCCTATATCTCCCTTAAACAAATGTTGTGTTTCGATTACGGAGCTAGAAAACCAATAACAGCTAAGATCGCATCGTTATGGGTGAAGAACTACCTCAGAAACGAAACAACTCAAGTTTATGACACCATGCAGGCAGCTCTTAAAAATCATTACATTTCTTTCTATAGTCGGAGAAGCACTTTTATCATATCAGACATATTTGCATTATTCTCATAATGCTAAATTTAAATTTCAAAAGAAAATCCAATACTATCACACAATACAAACTAACAGAGTATAATAATCTCCAATGAAACATCAAAATGATTTTCTGACACTTTCACGACTGTAAGTAGTAATCTCAATTATTTTTGAGAATATTATATCAGTGAGAAATAGTTTTTGCCGACAACAGAAATTAAGGTGTTGACCATCCAATAGGCGAAGATTTGGTATTGTTTAGCAAAAGTTTTTTTATATATTAATAAAATATAAACGAATAACTATTTTTTAATTTTCTATTCCCATTATTGGTTTTCAAATATTTAGAACAAAGAAAATTTCAATACCATTCTTTAAAGAAAATTAGCAAAATCCAAAGAGTCGATATTGTGATTCAAGTTTTTCAAAACAGCATCGATATTAAAGTGCGTACATTTTTAGCTTTATAAAATTTTAAGCAAAACGGCAATAATGATGATGGAATTATAACAGAAACGTGTCTGTCATTATTACAGCGGATTTTACAGGGAAAAATAATAAATAATGTTGTTAGAAGCCTAAGGACTACTCTAAGCCAACTTAAGTAATTGATCATGCAAAACATATACAGTTCTTAATTTTTTTACAAAATGTTCCTGAATAACGTTATTTATCTAGTTGCACAGTGAAATGAGTATGGTTCTGCTACACCATTTACCAACGAGCATGCAGAGATATGCAACTGGATGATGCCAATTCTTATGACAACTAAGCAAAATCCCAGCCGCCTGTAACTTTTATATTTTTAATACAAAAACTTAAAGAAAGTTACAAAAGAGCCTAAGAATAATTTTCTAGGCAAAAACTCATCACACTTCTCCCACACTGGTATAACATTATTCATCAGCGTCATGGCACTGCAGACTGTGGTCTACTGCAAGATAGTGTAAATTAGCGTAAAAATGCTGGCATAGCAACATTTCGGCTTCAACACAGCAATAAATCAGTGTCAGCTGACAAAACTGGGAATACCAAAACAGGAAATGAAAACACATTCAAACAACGAAAAATAAATTAAAAGCGCCATAGACGCTATAAAAAGAAAATGACAAACAAAAAGAAATAACTGTTGAAAAAAATTTAAAGTTTTTTAATCTAAAACCTGAAATCTCCCCCCCCCCCGAAAGTAGATGAAAAGTTATAAAAGCAAAAACTTTATCAGCGCCACGGCAGATGCGATCTTAAAGTGGCTGTAGGCCAAGGCGTGAAACTATTACACTGTAAATATGTCATTACCAACTAAATAACAGCAATTTAGCGTTAAGCAATCAACCTTAAAATGTTTGACCATTGTTAGGTGGTATCTGTAAATATTCGCTACACACGCAACGACAGCGAAAGCTTCCTAAATTTTCTTTATTACCTAAACACAATGGCATGATATAAATAAAGCACAATAATAACAATAACAATGGTAAATATAGCGACATCAACACATCATCAGACTTCTCTTGTGTATACGCTCATGAATATGTATTGAATGGTAATTTTGTCACGTCGTTTGCGACGCCTACGGACAAAGAATTGAGGTCGGCCAATATCGTGGACTTGTTCACTTTGATGGTGCGCACGGATAGCTGCAAAAGAATGCGTATAAAGTGTTTCGGGAAACAGTGTATACCGATCTGTGAAAACTATAAAAAGTGTGTGAAAAAGTTAATTTACTTCAAAGTGAAATTTTTACAAAAGTAATGATTGATATTAAGAAGATTTTAGGGATTAAGAATGAAATTGTTTAACTATTATTCCAGGAGTGTTGTGAACGTATATGACGTGCTAAATGAACAATAATTGGTAGCTACGTACTTAGCAAAAAGCATACTATTCATCTTTTTAGTTATTTTTAATATATAGAAAAAATACAATATATATCAGGTGCTCCGGTATAAATGATTTTTTTTTTTTTGTTGAAATGAAATACTACAATAATTTAGAATGTGAAAAAAAAATTATTCAAAGTATTGATCATTGCTTTTTACACATTTTGGCCACCTTTCTGGCAATTTGGGGATACCATGCCAATATAAATGTTCGTCTTTTGAAGCAAACCAATCAGACACTCCATTTTCGACTTCTACGTAAGAATAGAAGTGCTGCTCAGTCAATGCGTGTCCCATCGATGAAAATAAATATTAATCGGAAGGGACCAAGTCTGGTGAATACGGCGGGTGGGGTAGAAGCTCACAGCTAAGTACTTTGATTGTATCCTGAATTGATTTTGCTTTGTATACAGGTGCATTGTCGTGTAACAAATTTACTTTGACGTATCTTCTGACCAATTCTGCTCGATTTTCGATCAGTGCATGGTTCAAATTCACCATTTGTTGTCTGTAGCGATTAGTATTAATAGTTTCACCAGGTTTGAGAAACTCATGATATACCACACCCTTCTGATACCACCCGTGTCAATTCGATAAAAAACTGATTTTCTTTCGTGTCTTTGAAGCAAACGTGTTTTTTTGGTTTTCCATTTGTTTTTCATTCAATTCTTGTGGCACCCATTTTCCACACTGTTTGATCTTTGATCATAGCTTTCAAACGGTCTGATATTGTTTGTTGTGCAATATTTAACCTTGCTGCCATTTGCGTTTGGCTCTTATTATATCTGAACCGAACTGTTGAAACCATTTTTTGCATGTTGCTTCTAATAGAGTATGATCACCATATGTCTTGACGAGCATTAGATGCGACTCTGCAGCACTTTTCTACAAATGGAAACAAATTTTCCGGTACAAAATTTGAAATTTTCAACACAATGAAAAAATATGATGTCGTTTGTTGAATGACTATAAGGTTAAGGTTAAAGATAATTGTCACAGTGAAGTATTTTTGGAGTACATAAGTATAGTTCGAATGACTGGAGAATGTCGACCCGACACAATATAAAACCAAAAATTCTTTTCACAAATTACCAAAAATAGAAAGAAATGGTTATTTAATATAAGAGCATTAATTGTATGATCTTTCATGCCTTCAAACAAAGTTCACGAATAGATATAGAATAACTTAATTTTTTTATTAAATTCATAAAAACTTTTTTTATTCACATAAAACAAGTTTATAGTATATTCGTTGAGACAAATGAGAAAAAAATTCTGTGACATTGACAT